GGCTCAGACAGTCCGCTCGCCTCCACCTTCCGGCGTGCGGCGCTGACGGGCGTGAGCCACCGTGCCCGGCTGAGTTTGCCATTATTATTACTGTTGTCGTTGTGGTCCGGTTTGTGAATGGGGACACCTGCTGGGTCCTGGGTCCAGGAGACACAACCGTAGTCGAGACAGACCCTGGGCGGGGCCTGGGGCCTGTCGTGCCAGCGCTTTGGGAGGCCGAGGCAGGAGGATGGCTTGAGCCCCGGGTTTCAAGACCAGCTTGGGCACCGGAGCAAGACCCTCTCTCTACAAAGAAATTTAGAAATGAGTCGGAGCCAGGCTCGGCGGCTCAGCCTGGCACGCCGCACCTTTGGGAGGTTGAGGTGAGTGGATGGCCTGAGCCCGAGGGTTCGAGACCCGCCTGGGCCACTTGGCGAGACCTCATCTCTACAATACATCAAAAATCAGCCGGGCGTGGTAGCGCACGCCTGTAGTTCCGGCTACTTGGAAGGCTGAGGCGGAAGGATTCCCGGAGCCCAGCGGGTCGAGGCCGCGGGGGCCGGGAGCGGCCACCGCTCTCCAGTCTGGGGGACAGAGTGAGACTCCGACTCAGAAAAAAAAAGACCCTGTCCCCCCCTTTGGGAACTCACAGTCCGTGGGGTGGTGGGTGGGTGCGATTTTGGACATTCAGGCACTGAGGAGGCACCGAAAACGGCCCGGGGGGTGGATACCTGGGGGCCCTGAGAAGAGGGGCCTCCATGCAAAGTGGGTGTCCAGCCTCATTAGCACGGGGGGGGCGTTCCGGGGAGAGGGGTCCAGCCAGCCCCCTGTCCCCGCAGGGGAAGAAGTTTCTGGGAGACCTGCAGCCAGACGGGAGGATCGTGTGGCAGGAGACGGGGCAGGTGTTCAACTCCCCCAGCGCCTGGGCCACCCACTGCAAGAGGCTGGTGAACCCGGCCAAGAAGTCCGGCTGTGGCTGGGCCTCCGTCAAGTACAAGGGCCAGAAACTGGACAAGTACAAAGCCGCCTGGCTGCGGCGACACCAGTTCCACATGCCCGTGGCCGTCACCGATGAGGTCCGTCCTCTGGAACCGGTCCGGAGAAAGGGGACATGGGAGCAGGGCTTTGAGGGATGACCGGGAGCTCGTCGGAGCAAGACGAAGGGAGTAGCTTTCTAGAGGGCTGGAATGGCCTCTGCACAGCCGTGCAGGCATGAAGCCACACAGGCTGGTGTCTTGGCTGGCTGAGGGGCCTGGAGGTGTCGGCCGGGACCAGATCCTGGAGGGCTCTGAATGCTGTAATAATACGTGTGCTTCGAGTGTTCACCAGCTGAGTGAACTTGGCCAAGGACCCTCTGTGGGCTTTAGATTTTTAAAAAATTTTTTTCTTGAGTTGGAGTCTCCCTCTGTGGCCCAGACTGGAGGGCAGCGGCCGCTCCCGGCCACCGCAGCCTCGACCCGCCGGGC